GGACCCCGGTCTCGGTCGGCGGAAGAAGTCGAGTTTCTCCGCCATAGCGAGAATTTCTTGAAAACCGGTGACGCCGCGAAGTTGGATTTCCTAAGCGATGTCCTGCTTCAGGCCGCCGATGTAGCGGTCGATGCGCTCGCTCTCGTGCATATATCCCACCTGCTCGCATAGCGCCAGAAATCCGCTCGTGTAACCTTGGACAGAACCGAGTTGGCGCCAAGTGCGGAGCTTCTGTCGCGCCGCGATCGAAGCCGCGATTGGCTCGAAACGAGCGCGCAGACCTGCGCACCACGCGTCCCACGTGCGGCACCTCCACGAAATACGACGGCGCCCAGGGTCCGGTTTGTCCTTCCCGTGTCGGTAGAGTCGCGTAGTCTAACGACTTCGTGACGATGACGCGCCACCAATCCATGGCGGGTCCTCGCAGCAACGACACGGCATAGCGGATTTTCGCCGTATCCTCCGAGACGTAGTTGGCGTCGAAAAACACGTTCATCGTGAACAACCACGCCTGAACGGTAGGACCACCCCGTTGGCTGGGATCGAAGCATGGCGGACGCTGCGGCTTCAACGGCATTGGTGACGGCAGTGCCGAACCATCGGTTGGTGCCAAAATTGTGACGCGTGGCTGGCTTCGGGCCGCATTCGTCGCTTCGGGGTGTGTCGTGCCGTGGTCGTCGTCTCCGTCGGGGCGGACGACGCCATCACTGGCCGCGCTCGCGGGTTGCCCCACGCTTCCGTGTTGTGATGCCTCTGGTGCGGGCTGTTCCGGAGTGCCAGGTGCTTGAGATTGTGCCTGTTGTGCTCGTGTGAGGTCATTTTGCAGGGACGAGCGTTCTGCCGTCAGCGTTGCGATTTCCTCGGCGCTCTCGCGGATTTGCCGCAGCAGATCGTTCAAGTGCTCCTGCGTGAGCGTCGTGATATCAACGTGCTCGGCCATTTCGAAGGGTGTCGGCTCGTCTTAGTCTAGGCGCAGTCGTGGCTGCACGCGTTTACGAGAGAACGCGAGGACAGCGACTCCTAGGTGCTAAGGTGCGTGAGTCCCTTCGAGTGAAAAATCAAAAGTTGATTTCCTGGGGTGCGGAGATGCGCGGTCCGAAAAGAAAGGGGCTCTGAATACCAAGTGTTACGGGTGCAATGAATCGAAGTAGCGAGAATTGCACTAAGGTGTCAAACGAGTACAAAATGTGAGCGAAGGCATGAGCGAACATTTATACGCGAAACATGCAAACGGTAACGCGGTGCGTGCGAGCTAGCTAGTGCTACGCTGGAAGCGAGGCTCGGGCTAGTCCCGAAGCGTAGGCCGACACGGCCAGGCCAGCAGTGCGAGGTTTGTTGAAACAGTGCGTGCGAAGTCGGCGAAGGCCCGTTGGCAGTAACGGGCGAACAACGGCTGCTGCTGTACGCGGTGTTGCAGGGTGCGCTAAGGAATATAGAGAAAATTCCTTACAATGATAAATCTTGTAGTTGACCAGTTGAAATGATACGTTGCATTTGCAAGGCAAATCGCAAGCTTTCACAATCAGGACAACCTTCACAGCCGTTTCTTTCACTCGCTCGCACAACCCGTGGGTGTGCCCATTGCCCAACTGTCAGTGCTGTGTCATGCCATGGCTGTCCCCAAGCAAGCGGGGATTGCCCAACTGTCAGTGCTGTGTCATGCCATGGCTGTCCCCAAGCAGGCGGGGTTCGCTCACTCGGTACTGAATGGCATGGTGCGTACTGTACAGCTACACTACAGTTCAACCGTCTGTTCAGTTACGCGTCACCCGTTCATCGAATGTGGCTCGGAGGTTGTCCCTGTCCGACAATATCCTGGCAGGGAAGCAGGGTCCATCCGTCCACCTCCTCTTCATTTCTCGTCGGGTAGGCTCCACTCGGAAGGTTGCCCTGGTTCGGAAGCAGGCTCTGGCAAGGCAGCAGCATTTCTCTTGCCTTGAACTTGTCGGGTCTGGTCTGGATGGTGGCTCCAGGCGTGCTGTACAAGCCAAATGTCTTGTTTCGTTGGGTCTTTGGCGACGGATGTTTGTGGCGAGAACGCTTCGCGAGGTTCAGGCGAGATTGTTACGAAAGGGCAACCAGGCCAAAACACGAAAGTAACGAGCCTCTCACGAAGAGATTACAAACTCGTACAGTATGCGCTTCCCGCCCTCGAGATTCTCCTTCCCGCACTCATCTGAGAAATAATCTCCGGCGTCTCTCTCAACCCGAGTCTTTTATACTAATGCATAAGAACCATTCGTTGGGTTCTGATACATTAGCAGCCTGCCTCTTGCTGCTTAGGTCTTTGACGCCTCTCTGATGCAGGCAGTACATCAGCACCATTTCAGTGAAATTTTTTAGGACTGCAGTTAAGGCAACAAAGAGTATTCGTAATCGAAGCGCTCTTATTCTTCCTTCTCTGGATCGTACCCAGTGACACAGTGGATCGCCCAGCCATGTGTGCGTGTGCAGGGGCGTTCGGTCGATTTTGTTACATTGGATATACTTGTCCATAACTAGCACACGGAATGCATTCGCAGCCGCTCGTAATCGTCACTGGCTCCCTGTCACTCTTAATGTTCACCTTACTGCTTTAGCGGAGTGAACATAATTGCCTGCATGGATGGAGTAGCAACAGGCAGTGGAATGGGAATGCTGACAGACATAATTATCGCTATTTTTTTCCTTCCCTCCAAGGTCTACCAATAACAGCGCCGCCGCGTCAAACTGTTCTACGTGAAGAAAAATGGGTTGTTTCATGTCGAAAATGGGTACGTCAGTCCCGTATGTCTCTCTCAGTCTCAGACGCTCTGAATAACGATTCGGCAAAATGTTAAATGCAACTATTGCTGACTGGGATCGTGTGGCCGAAAAACGCGCTCTATTTGAAATTGAATGAAGCAAGCGAAGCAATTGAATGCCAGTTCATCGAATGCGATCATTTTCAGGCGAATGGGGTAGTAAGTCGACGACTCCAATGCGATGGTAACCCTTTTACCTCCCCATCTCCCTTCCTTCGCAATAACCTCGATTTCCTTTTCCTCTGCCTTTTTCCAATCAGACCATGGTGCAACAAGCACATCAATCATGGAACGTCGCGCCAGCAAGACCAGCCTCAGCAGCCAGAATAAATCGTCTTTCAGAACCGCCACCTCTCAAATCTCCGATTTCGATGGTTCGCTCGACGGTTCAACCGCGATTCCTAGCGCCAGTAGTACCTTCAATGTTTTTGTCGTGGTCTCCTCCTCGAATAGCGCCACTGGCAGCGACACCAATAAGTTAGTCTTGGTCGACAGTTCAACCGCAAATCCGAGTGCCAGTGACACCCATAATTGTGCTTCGGTCGACGGTGCAACGGCGAATCCTACTAGCGCCAGCGACTCTGCCAGCGACAATCCCCGACCTGACCTCATCCCAAGCTCCCTGCGACGGTTTTCGTTCGCCGAACTCCGCGCTGCGACGAACTGGTTTCATCGGCGACATGCCATTGGCGGAAGCGGGTTCGGAACCATTTATTGGGGAGCGATCCCGCCGGGGTCGAATGGGCTTGGTGCGGAGCCGACGGAAGTGGCGATTAAGAGAATGCGCGAGGCGAACGAACGATACGCGGAAGAGTTTCTGGTGCGTGCGCGCGTGCGCTCGAAATAGGGGGGAAATGGGGGATAAATGGGGGAGAAATGGGGGAGAGATGGGGGAGAAATGGGGGAGAAATGGGGGAGAAATGGGGGAGAAATGCGGAAGAGTTTCTGGTGCGTGCGTGCGTGCGCGGAAGAGAAAAAAAGGGTGGGGGGGGTTTGGCACGAGCGTGCATGAGGGGGTGGGAAGCCAGCTTTCCCAACGAGCATCTCTCGCGTTTCCACAATGTCTGCCAATCCCCTCGATCGAAGAAATATTTCTGTGAGGGTCTATTTTTTAGTCGACTCGAAAACGGATTTCCGTGGAGCGGAGCTGTTGCACCCGCACTGCGCCCGCCTGCACGATCACTGCATGGAGCCTTGTGCCATTGTAACGAGGTGACTTTTGAGACGACTCAAAAGTCCTCTATGGGAAGGGGAGCTGTCGCACCCGCACCGCGCTCGCATGCACGACCACTGCATGGAGCCTTGCGCCATTGTAACGAGGTGACTTTTGAGACGACTCAAAGGTCATTTTTGGAAAAGGGAGCTGTCGCACCCGCACCTCGCCTGCTTGCACGGTCACTGCATGGAGCCTTCATATCCCCACCACAACACCCCGCCATCCCACCATCCCACCATCCCACCACCTCACCAACCCCTCACAATCCCTCACTTGCAGAAAGAGGTGATCGTGCTGGGGCGGCTATCCCATCCCCATCTTGTGCGTCTGTACGGCTACTGCATGGAACTTCCATTCACGAACACCCCGCCCATCCTGTTCCTCCTCCTAACCCCTTGCAGAAAGAGGTGATCGTCCTGGGGCGGCTGTCCCACCCGCACCTCGTGCGTCTGCACGGCTACTGCATGGACCGCCTCCAACCCACCCATCTTCCCAGCTACACTCCTCCAACCCCTCTCAATCCCTCTCGTGCAGAAAGAGGTGATCGTCCTGGGGCGGCTGTCCCACCCGCACCTCGTGCGTCTGCACGGCTACTGCATAGAGGGGAACGAAGCTCTACTCGTGTACGAGTTCATGCCGGGGGGGTGCTTGGACAAGGCGCTAAAAGACAGTGAGTGGGGTGCGACGGGCTGTACCTGTTAGGAGTAGACGCGTTACTAACCTCTCCCTGCTTGTGTACGGGTTCGTGAGTCATGACCTCGGTGTACTTTCACCTCTCTGCCGTTCCTGCTGCCCTCTCGGCCCTGCCTGGTACCCTCACTGCCCTCCTGCCCTCTCCACCCCTTTCCTTACCTACTTCGTCCCTGTCAACCCCACCAGGTGTGAACTCCTCTGCACCTGGGACAAGCACCGCCTTCTTTTCCATTTCCACTCCTCAATACCCACTGTACCCCTTCCTCCCGCCCTCTCCGCTCCCCCTTCCCTTCCTCGCCACCCACCAGGTGCGAAGGGAGAGCTCTTCTTTAGCTGGGACATGCGGCTCAAGGTGGCGGTGCAAGTAGCAGAGGCGCTGACGTACATGCATGCACTCAACATCATCCACCGCGATTTGAAAGCCGCAAACGTGCTGCTGTCGCCTGTGAGTGGTGAGAGGTTGCTGTGCTGGGGCGGTGGGCTGCTTGGGGCGAAGGCGAATGGGGGGGAGAAGGCGGCAGTGCAGGTATCAGAGGCGCTGACGTACTTGCACGCACTCAACTTCATCCACCGCGATTTGAAAGCTGCCAATGTGCTGCTGTCGCCTGTGAGTGGAGGGGTGCTGTGCTGGAGCTGTGGGAGTCATCACATATACCTTGCAACAACGGCTTTGAAATGGCTGCCCTTACCCCCATCCCTCCCAATCTCCCCCTCATTCCTTCCATCCCAACGGCACAGACTTTGGGTCGGCGCGAGTCAACGCATAAAGTCCCTACAATGTCTGCCCCCTTCCCCCCATTCTTCGTATCTCCCCACCTGTCTCCTTTGCCATGAAATGGCTGCCCTTACCCCCATCCCTCCCAATCTTCCCCCTCACTCCTTCCCCCTCCACCACCAACGCCACAGGACTAAGATGCGAAGCTGACGGACTTTGGCATGGTGCGAGTGGGACCGGCCGGGCAGCTAGGTTTTGGTTTCGGTAGCAAACACTTTCAATAGCATCTCACTCGTCCCTTCCTCTCCACGCCACAGGAGTACGATGCAAAGCTGACGGACTTTGGCATGGTGCGAGTGGGGCCGGATAGGCAGCTGCGGTCGATTGTATCAACTCGGCTCATGGGCACTCAAGGCTATATCGACCCCTCGTACATGGAGACAGGTGAGTGTGTAAGACTCTGTGGGGGTATGACCAGTATGCATACTCACATCATGGGCACTCAGGGCTATATGGATCCCTCATACATGGAGGTAGGTGTGTGGCTGGGGTCGACAGGTGTGTGGCTGGGGGCAACAGGCTTTCTAGGGAAGAGGTCGACAATGTGGAATCGTATGAAGGACATTGAGGGGTACATTAACCCTCTGTACCTGGTCCCTCTCCCCTCCTGCCCCTCCTCACCACCCCTCACCACCCCTCTCCACCCCTCACCCCTCCATTCCCCACCTATCCCAGGTCGCCAAGAGCAGCATAGTTCGCTTGTTTGGTAAAAGGAGATGTTACAAGAACGTGCTCTTCCCTCCTCTCATCTATCCTCTCTCACCCCTCCCCTACCCTGCCGCCACCCCTTCCTGCCCCGCCCAGCTATGCGCTGCCCACCACAGGGACACCTGGGTGCCTGCCAAGGGTGACGTCTATTCCTTTGGCGTTCCCCTGCTTGATCTGGTAATCGGCAGGTACCACCACAAGTCTATTCACCGCCCACCCCCCCTGCTCCGCGCTGCCCACCACAGGGACACGTGGGTGCCTGCCAAGGGTAACGTCTATTCCTTTGGTTTTTAAGGCGCCTCAAAAGCCCCACTCCGCGCTGCCCACCACAGGGACGCCTGGGTGCCTAGCAAGAGCGACGTTTATTCCTTTGGCGTTCCCCTGCTAGAGCCGGTAACCACCACAGGACACTTTCTTTCCCTTCCCACACGAACCCCCTCCCCGTCCCCAGGCCGCTTGGGAGCCAAGAGCGACGTTTACTCCTTTGGTGTTCTCCTGCTAGAGCTGGTAACCGGCAGGAGAGTGCTGGAAGAGGGAGAAAACATGGTCATCGAGTGCAAAGCACTACTCTCGGACCCGAATCTCGGACCCCGAGCATATATCGACCCTCGTTTTGGTAACCAGTACCCCGAGCCAGACCCTCGAGGCTTGGCGACTCTGGCTCGGCACTGCATGGACGACGATCGGTCGAGGCGGCCGGAAATTGGGAGGGTATTGGAAACGCGCAGGTCACTGCAAAGGGTTGTGTGAGAGAGATGGAGACGAAGCGGCAGCTACAGCTGCCATGCCGCACTAGAGGCGGGAGATAGCGGAGATACAGAGGCGAATGGAGGCGAATGGGGGGGAGAATCAGGGTTGTCAGCAGCCGTGGCACATCCAGTATATGGTGTTGGTTGAATTAGTTCTTGCTTACTTACGGTAGGTTTCCCTCTTGTAAGATTAATGAGCAAAGCTTTATGTTTGAGATAGCATATTGCTGTTACTTTGATTTTTTTATTTGTGTAAGGAATTTTTCAGCATTCCTTACAGAGCACCTCAACAACGTGTGCATGTCCGGCCGTTTCTCCGCCTGTTACTGATAACGGCGTTTCGCTGCATTCGCTCGACGCTTTTCCCAAACCTAGCACAGCTAGACCGGCCAAGTCGGCCTACGCTTCAGGACTAGCCCGAACCTCGCTGCCAGCATCTCACGAGCTAGCTTGCACACACCACGTTACCGTTTGCCATTTTAGCTATAAATGTTCATCCATGCCTTAGCTCACATCTGTACTCTTTTTGTTTTGACCCCTAAGTGCAATCTTCATTCTCTTTATAGCAGCATTAACAGCATTATAGAATGCACAGTTGTAACTTCGTGGGCTTTAGCGAAGCGATAGTTCCAGCTGCCAAGAGGCTTGCGAGGCATTGACGAGGTTGTAACGCACTCGCAACCAGCCTGAAACACGAAGCTCGGAGTTCTGGTTTTCGAGGTATCGGTCTCATGCACTCATCTCTGAAATGAATTTCAAGCGATTAGAGCTTGCTTTTGGTAAGATAGCTAGCAGCCTGCTTCTTGACGCGTCACTGATACTGGAAGTATTTGCTCCACTGCAGTAAACTCTGCCAAGACCGCATCGTTGGAAATATTCGTCCATGACAAGCACACGGAATGCATTTATAGCCGCTCGTAATCGTAACCGTGCAAGGCTTTATATCACTCCTTATGTTCAGCCTTACTCCTTAGCGGAGTCAACAGGAACATAGTCGCATGATGTGCTATGCCATGCGTGGAGTAGTCACAGGCGTTGGAATGGGAATGCGTCTGTTAGACGTAGTTATCTTTCTTCGTTTTCTTCCCTTCAAGGCTTGAAAGCCGAATTCTAGACCAACAGCGCCGCCGTGTCAAAAACTTTCATGTCGAAACGAGGTACGTACTTTGGTCTCCTATTATGTCGCGCTCAGACACTCCGAATAACGTGAAAGCGGAATGTTAAATATATTGGTAATTATCTAGGGTCATCTTGGGGTAACTTTACACCCCACTGAAATCAGACCTGTTAAGCAGAAACTCATGTCCTGTCTGAAGCAAGAAAAGAAGCTAAATGTCAAGTTATTACATTTCACCCCCCCCCCCCATATCCCTTCCTCTGCAGTAAGTTCGAATTCCATTTCCACCATTCCTCTTCCAGCAGACCACCTTGAAACAAGCACACCAATCATTGATCACGCCGCCAGCAAGTCCATTCCCAGCAGCCAGAATCCATCCTCTCTCACAACATCTGCCTCTCAAGCAACCGTTGTTTCGGTCGACGGTTCAACCGCGAATCCTGGTGCCGGTACCATCGTTGTTAATGTGTTTGTCAACGGTTCAACCCCGAATACTGCCAGTGACACCAGTAGTTATGTTTTTTTCAACAGTTCAACCGCGGTTCCTAGTGCTAGTGACGCCGCCGATAATAATGTTTTGGTCGATGGCTCAGAGCCGAATCCTTGTGCCAGTGATCCCGACAATAATGTTTCGGTCGACGGAACCGCAAAGTCTAGTAATCGTGACACCGATGAGGTAGTTTTAGTCGACGATCCAACCCCGAATCCCAGTGCCAGTGACGCCGAAAACAGTGTTCCAATCGACGGTTCAACAGCGAATCCTAGTGTCAGTGACGCCGATAATCTTGTTCATCAAGACGGTTCAACCGCGAATTGTGTCTGTAACGCCAATAACAGTGTTTTGGTGGAGGATTCAACCCCGATACCTAGTGCCAGTGAGGCTGAAGAACTTGTTTTGGCCGACGCTTCAACCGCCAATCCTATCGCCAGTAATTCTACTAGCGACAATCCCCGACCTGACCTCATCCCAAGCTCCCTGCGACGGTTTTCGTTCGCCGAACTCCAGGCTGCGACGAACAGCTTTCATCCGCGAAATCTCATTGGCGAAGGCGGGTTCGCGGTCGTCTATCAAGGGGTGATCCCGCCGGGGCCGAATGGGCTTGGTCCGGAGCGGACAAAAGTGGCCATTAAAAGAATGCGCGACGCGAATGAAGGACACATGGAACAATTCTGGGTGCGTGGTTGCGAGAAGAGGAAGGCTGTATGACACGTGTCTGTATGACAGGGTGGGATGGCGACTTGGTTAACCAGCATCGCTTTTCCACATAATGCTAACCCCCTCAATTGTAAGAGGAGAGAGAGATGATCGTACTACTGGGGCGATCTTGAGTCGACAAAAAAATCGTCCCATCACTCGCGGCTGTCGCACCCGCACCTCGTACAGCTGCATGGTAACTGGACGAGGTTTCATGCACGCACACCACGCCCGCTTGATCCTGCTTTCTCCCCCTTTCAGTTCACTGCAGCGGTTGCTGTCCCCTTCAGCCTGCTCCCATTCTTCCTCTCTTAGTTTTGGGGGATATCGCTTGTATGCTTTGTCCCCCTCTCTATTCACTGGCAGAAGTTAGTGACCGTGCTGTGGTTGCTGTTCCTGTCAACCTCCTCCCATTCTTCCTCTCTCAACCCGCGCCCCCCATCTGGTGCGTTGCAGAGTGAAGTGGTCGTGCTGGGGAAGGGTAGCTGTCCCACCCGCACCTTGAGGCGCCTCAAAGATCGTCTCAAAAACCCACCCGCATCTTGAGGCGCCTCAAAGATCGTGGTGGGGAAGGGAAGCTGTCCCACCCGCATCTTGTCCATCTGCACTTGTTCTGCACGGATCCTTCACGTCCCCACCGGCCCACCCTCCCCACCCCAACCCCTTTCCCCTCCCCCTCCTCCCCACCCCAACCCCTCTTGTGCAGAGTGAAGTGGTCGTGCTGGGGAAGCTGTCTCACCCGCACCTCGTGCATCTGCACGGCTGCTGCACGGAGAAAGACGAAGCTCTGCTCGTGTACGAGTTTATGATGGGCGGCAGCTTGGACAACGCGCTAAAGGACAGTAAGTGGGGTGCTACGGGTGGTACACCACCAGTTTAGAGTGGTCTCATCTCAGCTCTCTCCCCGCTCTGCTCTTGTACGAGTTCATGACGGGCGGCTGCCTGGACAAAGCTCTAAAGGACAGTGAGTGGGGTGCTACGGGATGCACCAGTTAGGAGACGACGCAGTAGTCGCCTCTCTGGTTTTTGAGAATTCTCAAAATCCAGCTCTCCCTCTCCATGCTACAACCCGTAGCACCCCACGTATGACCCGTGGACAGTGAGGGGGGTACTACGACGCAGTAGTCGCCTCTCCCTGCATGTGTGTGGTTCATGACGGGGGGTGCTTTCACCTCTCTGCCTTCTCGGTCGTCTCTCCCTTCCCTGCTGCCCTCTCCGCCCTTCCTTCTGCCCTTCCTTCTGCCCTTCTGCCCTCTCTTCTCCCCCTGCTTTCTCGTTGGGACTCACTCCTTGGGAACCAAGGGAGGCGGTGCGTTTTTTGTGAAAGGGGCGGAGTGAGTCTCAACGAGTGACTCACTCCGAAGCCTTCCTCTCTTCCCACTCCTTGGGACTCACTCAGCCCTTCCTTACCCCCTTCCCCACCCACCAGGTGCGGAGGGAGAGCTCGTCTTTAGCTGGGACATGCGGCTGAAGGTGGCGGTGCAAGTGGCAGAGGCGCTGACGTACATGCATGCACTCAACATAATCCACCGCGATTTGAAAGCTGCCTATGTGCTGCTGTCGCCTGTGAGTGCATGTAAGGGCGTGAGAGTGGGGGGCGAGCGGGTGGCGATAGCAGTGCCGACAGCGCTGTTCTTGCCTGTGAGTGCGTGGGGGAGAGGGGAGGTAGCAAGATAGTACAGAGACGGGAATATGATGCAAGGCTGACAGACTTTGGAATGGTGCGTGTCATTACATAAAGCTTGCAATGACTGCTTTGAAATGACTGCCCTTACCCCCATCCCTCCCGATCTTCCGCCTCACTCCTTCCCTCCCTGCGCCACAGGAGTATGATGCGAAGCTGACAGACTTTGGCATGGTGCGAGTGGGGCCGGATAGGCAGCTGCGGTCGATTGTATCAACTCGGCTCATGGGCACTCAGGGCTATATCGACCCCTCATACATGGAGACAGGTGAGTGTCTAAGAAACCCCGGCATACCAGGATTGGCACTCATACTTGCAGTATGGGCTCCCCGGGGTAAATGGACCCCTAATATACGGAGACAGGTGTGTGTTTAGGACTCTAGGGGACTATGGCTATGAAGGCTCCGGGGCACATCGGCCTTCAGACGTGGAGAAAGGTGTGTGTCTAGAGGAGGCTGGTTCTCTAGGGTTTGTAGGGAAGAGGCTGATAGAGTGGACTTGCATTAAGAGCACTAAGGGGAGCATTACCCCTACTATGTACATGGAGTCAGGCACTTTCAGAGTTGCAGAGACAGGTTTTCTAGGGAAGAGGTTGGTAGTGTGTACTTGCATCACATGAAGGGCGCCAATGGATGCATCAACCCTCTGTACCTGGAACCTCTCCCATCTTGCCCCTCACCACCCCTTTTCACCCCTTCCTGCCCCGTTCCAATTATCACAGATCGACACGAGCAGCATAGGTTGCTCAGTCGAAAAAAGCAAATGGTCAGAAACTGTGCTCTTCAATCCTTTCTACTCACCTTCCTGCCCCTCCCTCCGCTGCCCAGCACAGGTCACCTGGGTCCCAAGAGCGACGTCTACTCCTTTGGCGTGCTAATGTTTGAGCTGGTGACCGGCAGGACAGTGGCGGAGGGGGCAGAGAGGGTTGTAAACGAGTGCAAAGCACATTTCGCGCGCGGCAACCCCAGTGCCGCAGAGTATATCGATCCTCGTCTAGGTAGCCAGCGCCCCGTGCGAAGCGCCCTAAGGTTGGCGACTTTGGCCCGGTTCTGCGTGCTGGAAAATCGGTCAAACCGGCCAGACATAGGGAGAATATGGCGGTTGCTGAAGGTGATTGTGGAGGCGCATGAGAATGATGTTGCAAATGCGGCAGCTACAAGGTGACTTGTTTTGAAACTACTCCAAACAAATGTAGCTTTGAGACGTCGCAAAAGCGGTCGTACCGGCCGGACACTGGGGAAGTACAGCGTTTCCTCTCAAGGTAATGGTGCAGGCGCGTGCAAATGATGTTGCAAATATTGAAGTAACTGGTGGCGGAGGCGTATGAGAATGATGCAGTGGAAGCGGCCGCTACGGTACAAGATGACTATTGAGTCGACTCAATAGTCACGCAGCCGGACATTCGGAAGGTACTGGGGTACCTCAATTTGGTGGTTAAGGCATGTGAGAGTGGTGAATTGGAGGCGGCAGCTAAAGCTGCAGCGTAGGAGGCGGGACAGTCAGGGTCTGTAGAAAGGGGGAATACGGAGGTTGAATGGTGGTGCAGCTGGGTCGCCAGCAGCTGTGGTGCTTTCAGTACCGTGGTATATATTGTTGGCTGATATAGTTTCTGTCAACGTAGGTTTCCCTCTTGTAAGATAGCACAGCTAAGGGTACATTCCGCTGTGGACACTGTCCCAATCGATGTGTCCCAATCGAGTGTACCGCTCCGAACCGAACTAAACCAGAGACGCGAAAATTTCGAAACTAGGGTGCAATTTGGTGTAATACGATGCAGTGCGGTAGAAACGATTGAGACACTTTCGATTGGGACATGTCCAGTGCGGAATGTACCCTAAGAACACTTGGCATTGGATTGGATCCGAAAGGTGTGTATGTTTTGGTAATTATTCTGCTATTCCGATATTGCATTCTGCAGTGGCCCTATGCATAAATTATTGGTAGCACTGGCGTTGTCTTGAAGTAGCTGAGTTGCAGCAGACATTGTACATAGGGAGAGCTAAACAAGTAGCTCAGACCACAGCACCTCTAATCTCAAACCTTTTAGCTTATCAATGAGCTATGATACCCTACAGAAGTATGATTGCCAACATTTATGCTCAGATGCGAAGTGTCATTCACTGTAGGTTATTCAGCTCTGTAGCGGAGAACAAGAATGCCTTTTCATACTGGATGCCATGTGGCTACCCTTGCAGAGCACCACGTCTCGGTATGCTGATGTGGCAGCTGGTCATGGGCTGCCTCGTGTTCTCCGATTGCTCGCTGCACCTCGCGCCTTGGATTAGCCCGAACCAGCACAAGGCGTCTAGAACTCGCCGCGTCACTCAGCCAGCACACCGTCAACATTCATCACCATGAACTCCCAAGGTGCGTGACGTGGTGCCCCGTGATGCGTGGACCGTTGCCGGTCCGGCAATTTCGAGGGACTGAGGGGAGGAGCATTCACCCGCGATTCGCCGAAACGAACCCTTCAAAACCCCGCTGCAAGCAATACAGATGGCAGATCACCGATTTTACACTTTCACTGCCAATCCAGCACTCCTGTGACCAATTCGTCAAAAAATGAAGTTCGTGAATTCCATATCTTCGATTTGTTCGCCAAAGAGTTTCTCCTGAAGCTACGAGAGTGTTTTGTTCGCGATCTACCCGGTTACACGGAGTGCAGACTGTCCCTTCGGCCAAGGCTTGCCGTTGCCTACCAACCTCAATTACCTCCATATATTCTCCTCCCTGCCCTAGTTTCCATCAGCCATTCGGAGTTCCTGCCTTGTCCATAGACATTTCCCGACAACCGTGCTGCTCCGCCTCGGATTGCGCATTCCATTCTTCCGCGCTCAATCAATCGTCGTAGCCGCGCAATCCTAGCTCTCAGCCATGGCGGCCCTCTCCGCTCCCGTCTCGGCGACTAAGTCCGCCCTCCTGGGCTCAGATCTCAGGGGCCAACGAATCACCGTCGCCGGCAAATCCGCGCGAGTAGTCGCTGTCCCAGCATCCCGCATCGTCGCGACCGCCGCCAGCAACCCCGACGCCGTCAGCGCCTCGAAGCGCTCCTTCCTCAAAAAGACCCTCGGCGCCGCGGCCGTCGGCCTCCCGCCGCTGGTCCTCGGCGGGAAAGCCATGGCGGAGGGGGAGCAGCAAGCGGTTGCGTCATCCCGCATGTCGTATTCGCGCTTCCTCGAATATCTCGACATGGACCGCGTTAAGAAGGTCGACCTGTACGAGAACGGCACGATCGCTATCGTGGAAGCGGTGAGCCCTGAGCTGGGCAACCGCATTCAGCGCGTGCGCGTGCAGCTGCCGGGGCTCTCCGGCGAACTCCTCGCGAAGTTCCGCGAAAATAACATTGACTTCGCCGCGCACAACCCGCAAGAGGACTCGGGCGCCGTCTTCATGAACGTTCTCGGAAACCTCGCGTTCCCGCTGCTGCTCGTCGGCGGCCTCTTCCTCCTGTCGCGGCGATCCCAAGGCATGGGCCCGGGCGGTCCGGGCGGCCCAATGGCGTTCGGGCAGTCTAAGGCGAAATTTCAGATGGAGCCGAACACGGGCGTTACCTTTAACGACGTCGCGGGAGTCGACGAGGCGAAGCAGGATTTCATGGAGGTCGTCGAGTTCCTGAAGCGTCCGGAGCGCTTCACCGCCGTCGGAGCGCGGATTCCCAAGGGTGTGCTGCTCGTCGGCCCGCCCGGCACGGGTAAGACGCTCCTCGCGAAGGCTATTGCCGGCGAGGCCGCGGTACCGTTCTTTTCGATCTCCGGGTCGGAGTTCGTTGAGATGTTTGTCGGTGTCGGCGCGTCGCGCGTGCGCGATTTGTTCAAGAAGGCCAAGGAGAACGCTCCCTGCATCGTTTTCGTTGATGAAATCGACGCCGTTGGTCGCCAGCGTGGTACCGGAATTGGCGGCGGGAACGACGAGCGCGAGCAGACGCTGAACCAGCTTCTAACGGAGATGGACGGTTTCGAGGGCAACACGGGTGTCATCGTTATCGCGGCGACCAATCGCGCGGATATTCTGGACGCGGCGCTGCTGCGTCCCGGGCGATTCGACCGTCAGGTGTCCGTCGACGTCCCGGATATCAAGGGACGTAAGGAGATTCTCAAGGTGCATGCGTCCAACAAGAAATTCGCAGATGACGTCAACCTCGATGTTGTCGCGGCGCGCACGCCCGGATTCAGCGGCGCGGATCTCGCGAACCTGCTGAACGAGGCTGCGATCTTGACCGGGCGGCGCGGCAAGACGGCGATCTCGTCCAAGGAGATCGACGATGCGATTGATAGGATCGTGGCGGGTCTTGAGGGAACGGTGATGACGGACGGCAAGAGCAAGAGCCTGGTTGCCTACCACGAAGTCGGCCACGCCATCTGCGGGTGAGTTGAATCAAAACTTCTCCCAACGCCCTCACCTTTCTGTCATTCCACCCTCGCCTCCCAGGATCCTTCTCCCAACGCCTCAGCTTCCTCTCCCTTATCGCCCTCACTCTTGCCCACTGTTAAAAGCTTCCTCAAAGCGATTTCAACTAAACATTTCCCCCCCACTCCCCTCTCCCCCCTTCGTATCTCCTCAGCACGCTCACGCCCGGGCACGACGCCGTGCAGAAGGTGACGCTGGTGCCACGTGGCCAGGCGCGCGGGCTGACGTGGTTCATCCCGAACGACGACCCGTCGCTTATCTCGAAGCAGCAGATCTTTGCGCGCATCGTCGGCGCGCTGGGTGGCCGCGCCGCGGAGGAGGTGGTGTTTGGCGACGCGGAGGTGACCACGGGCGCCTCAAGCGACTTGCAGCAAGTCACTGGCATGGCCAAGCAGGTATGCCACAGTAACCTAACAGCCAGTCACTCACATGCCAGTGGCAGGCAAAGAATTGAGGAGTTCAGAGCAATAAATGGAACACGTGAGGCGAATTGCGAGAGTATGCCGCTTGCCTCAAACAATCATCCCCCACTCCCCACCCCACAACCCTTGCTCTCCTCTCCTCTTATATGATAACGTTATGGCCTTGGATTTTGGCTCATTCTATCTCCTCAATTCTTTGAGGCCGCTCTTTTCCGCGTCGTCTATCTCCCACCCCCCGCACCTCCCCTGCAATTGATAGCTGCCTTAGGCATGCATGTTGGCTCATGGGCTTTGAGGCATTTCTAACCCCTTCTCTTTGTCCACTCTCTCATATCCACATCCTTCACTCCCTCTCTCCTCCCTCTCCCACAGATGGTTACTGTCTTCGGCATGTCTGACATTGGCCCATGGGCTCTCATGGACCCCGCTGGCCAGGGCGGTGACGTCATCATGCGCATGATGGCGCGCAACAGCATGTCTGAGAAGCTCGCAGAGGACATTGACGCCGCCGTTAAATCCATCTCCGATGAGGCTTATGAGGTTGCTCTGGCGCACATCAGGAACAACCGCGAGGCGATTGATAAGATTGTGGAGGTGCTGGTTGAGAAGGAGACGCTGAGCGGGGATGAGTTCCGGGCGATCCTGTCGGAATTCACGGAGATTCCCAAGGAGAACATGAACTTCACCCCCATCACTGCCTGAAGAGGAGTTTTTGAAGAGGATTTACTGGTGGCAGCAGCTGCTGCTTGTGAACTGCTTCTGGGCATGGTTTTGTGAATTTATCCTGGTGGCAGCTTTAGGTTAGGTTATTTTAATACCTTTGTCAGTACATTGTGCGTTTGTACCTGTTTGACCTGTACATTCTGCTCGGAATCTTCCATTATTGGTGTTATTCCCAACCATGATTCCTAAGTTCTGGGCTTAAAATATTCCCACACAGCTGAACCACGGTTCCTTCCTTCAGTCATTGACAAATTCTGAACGTTCTTTCCTTGCTCAGTAAACACTAATTATCCTTTCAATTTCTATCTGCCCGAATTCAAGGAAAAGGTGGTGTGTATTTTTTTTTTTTTTTTTTTTGAAAACGCAGCCTCAAGAACACCCCAGTAGAACAGCACATAAGGAACCCCAAAAGACACCCCAACTAGATACCCCCAATGAGACACCCCAACGAGACACCCCAACGAGACACCCCAACAATACGCCCCATCTAACCAAACCCCCCACCCCCCTCACCTAAACCCACCCTCTAAACCCGCATGTCCACCAAATAGGGCGCATCCGCCCACGGAGCATCCCATCCCATCTCCTCCTCAAAATCCTCCCGCTCCACCGAAACAGCCTCTGGGCCTCTCATCATCGACGCCGCGCGCAACAAGATCACACGCGCCTGAGCCCGCTGCAAAGCCACACCTATGGCCGCTTTAAGTGATCCAAGCAAGTAAGCCGAGAAACCTTTCCCCGTAGCTCTCGCCGCCCCTTTCGTCTTCGCTACCTCAATCTGCGCGTCGCCCTGTTTCTTAAGCCACCGCCCAAAACTCCCCCCCAGGCAACCCCATGTCTCAGCAATGAGAGGTGTAAACTGCACTCCCCTATGTCGCTGCAGAAGCAATTTGTAGTCCGCCGCCTTCCGCTTTTCCCTCTCTCTAGCGGCAAAACCCACTTTGCGACCAATCTGTCCATGGTGCTGCGCGGACAACGAGATAGGGTCCACCACACTAACCTCCAGCGCATGCTCCTCCCCCTCCCTCAGTCTCCGCACCGCCACATCCACCCTCTTCCCTGGCAGCAACGTGTCGTCTTCCATGGTCACGACCCCACCCGCCCCTTTAGCTATCTTCGCCACCACAAACTTAACCGCGTCGTGAACACGAGAAGGTGCGTACTGGTACTTGCAGCGAAGGGCATGATGCGGGTCAGAGGGATCAGCAAACTCAAACCCACACGCGCACTTGCCGGCGACTATCAGCTGCTGTATGGGGAGGCCTAGGCGCATGGACGCACATATGCTCCACTCGGCTGCGGTGAAGGTAGCCTCTTCGTGCGAAGGGACGGCGGAGACCCACGCCCCTGCCCCCGGGCCCTGAAGGGATGTCAAACGGGCCATGGTGGCGTCGTCGTGGGCCATACCCCGAAGAGTCTGCAGACTCTCAACCGCTAGGCGACGGTGTTGTGTGGGGAAAAGCAGCACAGGGGGGTCAGCGGTGCATAAGGCTAGGGGTGGCATCTCCTGCCTGACCGACTGTGGCAGCAGCTCCACTGCTCTCGCAAACCAAGGATCCAGCAAGGTCGTAGCCTCGGGCGTGCGGAAAAACTCCTCAAACATCCGTTCCTCCCCTGCCACCCCCATCCGAGCCACATCGCTCACTGCCTGGCACCAACCACATGCGTACGACAGAGGGCTAAGGTCAGCTGCAGATCGAATGCCAAACCCTCCAAGTCTGGCTGGAAGGTGCAGCTGTAGACGGGCCATCTGCGACCTTGCCGAATCATGATCCCAGGTGCTATCTGGAAACAGCTGCTCAAAACAATCCTCAAGCTTCGTGTCCCAGTCGCGGAAAGCCTCCACAACCTCAGGCCGTGGAGGCATCGTCCTTGTGAGGTAAATCGGGCGCGCTGACACTGCGATCGCCAGCAGATGGGACGCAATCTGTGGGTGGTCGAGCAAAGGAAGCCAAGGGACAGGTGCATGCAGCTGCATCAGCCGGCCTCGCAAGCTGGCCACCTCCCACTCCTCCTCCCCAATAGGAACCCCCACTACGGTGAGCCCCGTCCATGTTTGCTGCATGCCGGGCGGGACGGTCTCGTTCCTCTCCTCTCCCTCCTGGTCCACCCCTCGCTCCCAAAGCTTGCACTTATGCGGCTGCACCTCTAGACCAAGCCCGCCCAGTCGTTCCCGCAAGACCTCATAAGCTGCTAGCACCCGCTCCCTAGGCCCCAAGATGTACGTATCATCGGCGTAGCTGAGAAAGAGTAGGTCGGCGAATTCTTGTTTGGTGGGCTCCATAACCAGCTGCTGTGTGAACGCGAACAGAAACGGCCCCAATGGGTCCCCTTGCCTCGATCCTCGCTCTGAAGCCAAAGCTTCGACGAAGGGGCCCGCACGGAGGTAGAGGTCGCTAGGAGTGCCGTAGAAGACACGCAGGAATGGGATCAAACCCGCAAAAGGCGACTGTCGAAGTCCTTCAAACATTTCCCGCCGATGGAAGGAGTTGAAAGCATTCGCCACATCAATTTGAAGCGCGCACCATGACGGGTGAGTAGATATGGCAGAACGAAAGGAATGTGCGAGGACTTCCACTCCCGACCTGGATCCGACTCCTAGCTGGTTACACGGCGCAAAGTGCGACATCATCTTCGGCCGAAGCACGATGCATAGGGCCCGAGATAGTATGCGGGGGAGCACCTCGCCTATAGCCACCGGGCGAACGTCACCATTCGGCTTCGACAGGCCCACAAGGTTGGACGCAGTGAGCCAGGGTCGCACGCGCTCCGCTACCTCTCCCTTGGTCCACTGGGTGAAGACTCCTAGCAGGTGAGGCAGGTATGCGGGCTCAGAGAGAAAAGTGTCGCGCAGGTGCTCCGTCACCCACCCCGACGGTCCTGGTGCCGACGCCCTAGCCGCAGAGTGGATCGCCTGACCAAGTACCTCCACTGAGAGCTGCGGGATAAGGGAAGGCTCAACTATCTCCTCCTGCAACCACTCCGGAAAGGCGGTCTCGCTCGATGGGTGTTTCGCTCGCAGCGCGTCCACCATGTGCTGAGAGGGCTGAGCAATGCTACCGGCAGTAAGACACGTCAAACCCCGACTCCATTCTCCCGCTTTGCACCTTGTGCGGCAGCGAGCCAGGCGCACCGCATCAGGATCATGCTCGGGGGGGGTGAAGGACAAAGGACGCGCCGCAGGTTGCATTACCGCCACCGCCAACTCAAACAGCTCCCGCCACTCCCCGACCCAAAACTTCTCCAACCGCTCCCTGATTGCCGCCCTATGCCCCTGGCCTTGCCCAGTTGGCATCCCCAAGATAAGACGAGGGAAGGCCAAAAAGACCAAGGACGCCGCCTCGTCTGCTGCCTTTAACTGTAGCCGCTTCAGGACACAAGACAGTGCATCAAGCACCCCCAATCTAGCGCGCTGTGGGATACGACGCATGATTCTCCCTGGCACCAATTCGATCCCAAAAAACGACTCCCAGTCCCATGTAGGAACTGCGGCCCATACCTCTTCACTGATATCACGTGGTGGCGGGGGTTCGCCGTCCGAGTCATCTGTGACGTCGCGGGTCAACCCAAGCGCCTGAGCACGACGCTGGGCGTCCGCTGCCCTGCAGGCCGACATATGGCGTGTGGCCTTTCCTCTCTCCATGAACGTGCGATAACAGGTTTCGCACGGAATGCGGGGCGGGGGTGTCAATGTAGGGTCTGGGTGCTCCTCTCCACTCGAACACGCCGGCAAGACCCTCCTGCTAGACTCCGTCTCCATGCCCCCCTCTAACGGCCTTGCAAGCTCCATCCCTCCGCACTGCAGCTGCTGCTGCCCTCCGCTCTGCAACTGCTGCTGCCCTTCGCTCTGCAATTGCCGTTGCCCTCCGCTCTGCAGCTCCTGCTGCCCTCCGCTCTGCAGCTGCTGCCCTCCGCTCTGCAGCTGCTGCTGCCCTCCGCTCTGCAGCTGCTGCTGCCCTCCGCTCTGCAGCTGCTGCTGCCCTCCGCTCTGCAGCTGCTGCTGCCCTCCGCTCTGCAGCTGCTGCTGCCCTCCGCTCTGCAGCTCCCGCTGCCCTCCGCTCGGCAGCTGCTGCTGCCCTCCGCTCTGCAGCTGCTGCTGCCCTCCGCTCTGCAGCTGCTGCTGCCCTCCGCTCTGCAGCTCCTGCTGCCCTCCGCTCTGCAGCTGCTGCTGCCCTCCGCTCTGCAGCTGCTGCTGCCCTCCGCTCGGCAGCTGGTGCCCTCCGCTCTGCAGCTGCTGCTGCCCTCCGCTCGGCAGCTGCTGCTGCCCTCCGCTCTGCAGCTGCAGCTGCCCTCCGCTCGGCAACTGCTGCTGCCCTCCGCTCTGCAGCTGCTGCTGCTCTCCGCTCGGCAGCTGCTGCTGCCCTCCGCTCTGCAGCTGCTGCAGTTTGGTTGCCCGTCGCCTCCGGCCCCGGCCCCGCGCTCGGGGCCTTTCCGCTTGGTCCGGGGAATCAGGGTTGGCATTCTCCCCCTCCATGGGGCTTGATTCCAGCTCATCGGTGCAAGCCTCGTCCGCCATCTCCACATCCAACACCCAAACCGGCTCTTGCTGCCCTCCGCTCTGCAGCTGCTGCTGCCCTCCGCTCTGCAGCTCCCGCTGCCCTCCGCTCGGCAGCTGCTGCTGCCCTCCGCTCTGCAGCTGCTGCTGCCCTCCGCTCTGCAGCTGCTGCTGCCCTCCGCTCTGCAGCTCCTGCTGCCCTTCGCTCTGCAGCTCCTGCTGCCCTCCGCTCTGCAGCTGCCGCTGCCCTCCACTCGGCAGCTGCCGCTGCCCTCCGCTCGGCAGCTCCTGCTGCCCTCCGCTCTGCAGCTGCTGCTGCCCTCCGCTCGGCAGCTGCTGTTGCCCTCCGCTCTGCAGCTCCTGCTGCCCTCCGCTCTGCAGCTCCTGCTGCCCTCCGCTCTGCAGCTCCTGCTGCCCTCCGCTCTGCAGCTCCTGCTGCCCTCCGCTCTGCAGCTGCTGCTGCCCTCCGCTCGGCAGCTGCTGCTGCCCTCCGCTCGGCAGCTGCTGCTGCCCTCCGCTCTGCAGCTGCTGCTGCCCTCCGCTCGGCAGCTGCTGCTGCCCTCCGCTCTGCAGCTGCTGCTGCCCTCCGCTCGGCAGCTGCTGCTGCCCTCCGCTCTGCAGCTGCTGCTGCCCTCCACTCGGCAGCTGCTGCTGCCCTCCGCTCTACAGCTGCTGCTGCCCTCCGCTCGGCAGCTACTGCTGCCCTCCGCTCTGCAGCTGCTGCAGTTTGGTTGCCCGTCGCCTCCGGCCCCGGCCCCGCGCTCGGGGCCTTTCCGCTTGGTCCGGGGAATCAGGGTTGGCATCCTCCCCCTCCATTGGGCTTGATTCCAGCTCATCGGTGCAAGCCTCGTTCGCCATCTCCACATCCAACACCCAAACCGGCTCTTGCTGCCCTCCGCTCCGCAGCTGCTGCTGCCCTCCGCTCTGCAGCTCCCGCTGCCCTCCGCTCGGCAGCTGCTGCTGCCCTCCGCTCTGCAGCTGCTGCTGCCCTCCGCTCTGCAGCTGCTGCTGCCCTCCGCTCTGCAGCTCCTGCTGCCCTTCGCTCTGCAGCTCCTGCTGCCCTCCGCTCTGCAGCTGCCGCTGCCCTCCACTCGGCAGCTGCCGCTGCCCTCCGCTCGGCAGCTCCTGCTGCCCTCCGCTCTGCAGCTGCTGCTGCCCTCCGCTCGGCAGCTGCTGTTGCCCTCCGCTCTGCTGCTCCTGCTGCCCTCCGCTCTGCAGCACCTGCTGCCCTCCGCTCTGCAGCTCCTGCTGCCCTCCGCTCTGCAGCTCCTGCTGCCCTCCGCTCTGCAGCTCCTGCTGCCCTCCGCTCTGCAGCTGCTGCTGCCCTCCGCTCGGCAGCTGCTGCTGCCCTCCGCTCGGCAGCTGCTGCTGCCCTCCGCTCTGCAGCTGCTGCTGCCCTCCGCTCGGCAGCTGCTGCTGCCCTCCGCTCTGCAGCTGCTGCTGCCCTCCGCTCGGCAGCTGCTGCTGCCCTCCGCTCTGCAGCTGCTGCTGCCCTCCGCTCGGCAGCTGCTGCTGCCCTCCGCTCTGCAGCTGCTGCTGCCCTCCGCTCGGCAGCTGCTGCTGCCCTCCGCTCTGCAGCTGCTGCAGTTTGGTTGCCCGTCGCCTCCGGCCCCGGCCCCGCGCTCGGGGCCTTTCCGCTTGGTCCGGGGAATCAGGGTTGGCATTCTCCCCCTCCATGGGGCTTGATTCCAGCTCATCGGTGCAAGCCTCGTCCGCCATCTCCACATCCAACACCCAAACCGGCTCTTGCTGCCCTCCGCTCTGCAGCTGCTGCTGCCCTCCGCTCTGCAGCTCCCGCTGCCCTCCGCTCGGCAGCTGCTGCTGCCCTCCGCTCTGCAGCTGCTGCTGCCCTCCGCTCTGCAGCTGCTGCTGCCCTCCGCTCTGCAGCTCGTGCTGCCCTTCGCTCTGCAGCTCCTGCTGCCCTCCGCTCTGCAGCTGCCGCTGCCCTCCACTCGGCAGCTGCCGCTGCCCTCCGCTCGGCAGCTCCTGCTGCCCTCCGCTCTGCAGCTGCTGCTGCCCTCCGCTCGGCAGCTGCTGTTGCCCTCCGCTCTGCAGCTCCTGCTGCCCTCCGCTCTGCAGCTCCTGCTGCCCTCCGCTCTGCAGCTCCTGCTGCCCTCCGCTCTGCAGCTCCTGCTGCCCTCCGCTCTGCAGCTCCTGCTGCCCTCCGCTCTGCAGCTGCCGCTGCCCTCCGCTCGGCAGCTGCTGCTGCCCTCTGCTCGGCAGCTGCTGCTGCCCTCCGGTCTGCAGCTGCTGCTGCCCTCCGCTCGGCAGCTGCTGCTGCCCTCCGCTCTGCAGCTGCTGCTGCCCTCCGCTCGGCAGCTGCTGCTGCCCTCCGCTCTGCAGCTGCTGCTGCCCTCCGCTCGGCAGCTGCTGCTGCCCTCCGCTCTGCAGCTGCTGCTGCCCTCCGCTCGGCAGCTGCTGCTGCCCTCCGCTCTGCAGCTGCTGCTGCCCTCCGCTCGGCAGCTGCTGCTGCCCTCCGCTCTGCAGCTGCTGCTGCCCTCCGCTCGGCAGCTGCTGCTGCCCTCCGCTCTGCAGCTGCTGCAGTTTGGTTGCCCGTCGCCTCCGGCCCCGGCCCCGCGCTCGGGGCCTTTCCGCTTGGTCCGGGGAATCAGGGTTGGCATTCTCCCCCTCCATGGGGCTTGATTCCAGCTCATCGGTGCAAGCCTCGTCCGCCATCTCCACATCCAACACCCAAACCGGCTCCTGCTGCCCTCCGCTCTGCAGCTCCTGCTGCCCTCCGCCCTGCAGCTGCTGCTGCCCTCCGCTCTGCAGCTGCTGCTGCCCTCCGCTCTGCAGCTCCTGCTGCCCTCCGCTCTGCAGCTCCTGCTGCCCTCCGCTCTGCAGCTGCTGCTGCCCTCCGCTCTGCAGCTGCCTCTGCCCTCCGCTCTGCAGCTCCTGCTGCCCTCCGCTCAGCAGCTCCTGCTGCCCTCCGCTCTGCAGCTGCTGCTGCCCTCCGCTTTGCAGCTCCTGCTGCCCTTTGCTCTGCAGCTCCTGCTGCCCTCCGCTCTGCAGCTGCTGCTGCCCTCCGCTCTGCAGCTGCTGCTGCCCTCCGCTCTGCAGCTCCTGCTGCCCTCCGCTCTGCAGCTCCTGCTGCCCTCCGCTCTGCAGCTGCTGCTGCCCTCCGCTCTGCAGCTGCTGCTGCCCTCCGCTCTGCAGCTGCTGCTGCCCTCCGCTCTGCAGCTCCTGCTGCCCTCCGCTCTGCAGCTGCTGCTGCCCCCCGCTCTGCAGCTCCTGCTGCCCTCCGCTCTGCAGCTCCTGCTGCCCCGTCCCCACCGGCGGCTGCCGGCTCCTCTCCCGGGCCCCCTGCTGCCCGCCCACCTGCGGGTCACGCTGACCCCCCACTAGTGGCTCCTGCTGCCTGTCTTTCCCCGCCGCACTCCGGCGCCTCCGCTCCTGCCGCCATGCGAGACGTGGCACGACCGGGGGGATTGCGGCGTCGGCCGAGCCGGCGCCGTGCAACATTGCCCTCACAGGTAGGCAGCGTCTGCGAGTGTCATGCTGTTGTTGCAAGCGCCTACGGTGTTCCTCCCAGGCTGCCCTCGCTACCTCTGATGCCACCTGTGGTACAACCGCCGCCTCGTCGACTGGACCCTTTTCGGTTGTTGCTCCCCCCCTTTCTCCGATGATGGCCGAAGGTACAGGGTAATCGCCGTCAGACCCGGTGTTGGGAGGGTCTTCGAGAGGTTGGCCGCATGTCAGTACTGAAATCGAACGGCCTGCTTCACAACACTGTCTCTTGGCTGGTTTGCCAAAGAGGCACAGAAGGTCTTCGTGGTGGAGGCGACGAATGCGTGGGCTCTGGAGCGCACTCTCAGCCCCCCCCGTCTTTTGTGACTGGTCAATAGGTGGAGCGACCCACCAGCTGCTACTGTGCTTACCCCCCCTTCACCCCCGAAGGCTCCCGTCACGTCGCTGTCAAGGCCGCCCCCCACCCGGCCCCCGGGATCCCCGGGGTCCGGGTTGTCCGCCATGGCTCAAGGATCTGGCTAAGGCTTGTTCGCTTACTCTCTGCTACTGCTCTTACTCTACGGTGCTGCTATGGCGCGGGTTTCGCTGCAAAGGTGCTGTCTTCGCTGCTACGGCACAGATCACACTCTTATGGCGCGGGTTTCACTGCGATGGCCCAGGCGCGGCTGCTATGGCGCGGATTCCGTTGCTGAGGGGCGGATTTCGGTGCTAAGACACGGCTTTTGCTGCTATGGCGCAAACCACGTTGTTATGGCGCGGATCTCGCGGCTATAGCTCGGATTTCACTGCTATGGCGCGGATCTCGCTGCTATGGCTCGGATCTCGCTGCTATGGCTCGGATCTCACTGCTGTGGCACGGACTTCGCTGCCGTGACGCAGATTTCGCTGATGTGGCGTGGACTTCGCTGCTGTGGCGCGTTTTTCGCTGCTGTGACGCGATTCTGCTGCCAGTACGTGAAACGAGCCTGCTATGGCGCCAGTTCTGCTGCCTAACGGCGCTGCGGGCGGCCTAATCGCTGGCTCTGCGGCTAGATCACGGGCTGGTCGGCTAGATCGCTGCCAAGCGGCTAAATCGCGAACCTGGCGGCTAAATCGCGGGCTCCGCGGCGAGATCGCGGACTAGGCGGCTAGATCACGGGCTCGGCTGCGAGGTACCGGGCTACGCGGCTGGATCACGGGCCTAGGAGCTCGTTCGCGGGCTGGGCGGCGAGATTGCGGGCTGGGTCGCGGGCTACGTGGAGGACTTTGAATGTTGACAGAGCATGCAGTGAGTGCAAACCGTCTACATTACCAGGAGAACTACAGTGAAAACTGAAACTGATACAGTGAGAGTGTACATTACAATGAAAAGTGCTGTACAGTAAAACCATCTCAGCAGTCTGAGTACAACCATCTAAGTTCTTGTTGACCACAGAAGTGGAGAAATGTTAAGTGCGCTGCAATGCAGTGATAACAAGTCACATGTCTGGGAAGTGATTTTATACGGTGTCAAGGCGACCAGTCACATGCAGCCATGTGTACCAGTAAGTCGGACCAGGCAGCGTCACATGCAGCCATGTGTACCAGTAAGTCGAACCAGGAACTTCAGCAGTCGTCGGTTCACATGCTGCAACAACAAACAAGCCGCCAGAAGAGCCACGAAGAGCATGGTGGACAAAGGGAATGGGAGAGGGGAGGTGGGGGGTTGGTGAGGTGAGGGAGGAGACGAGAGAAGGGGAAAATTGCTGAATGATGTGAAATTAATGGCTAACGTTGTAAATAAATGATATAAGGTTGATGGTTGACATTGTTATGTGCAGGAAGGAAAAGGGGACAGGAAAGATGAGGGTTACGTGGGAGGCGGTTGAGGGGTGTGTGGGGCGTGAGCAGAGCAAGGAGAGGTTTGGGGAGAGGGGAGATTAAGGGCGAGAGACGGAGGTGCGTGGAGAGAGGGGGGGGGGGTGGGGTGAGGGGTGAGCAGAGGGGGGATGACAGATGGATCGAGGGGGAGGGAGTGGGGGGGGGGGAGGGGAGGGGGATTAAGGATGCATGGGATGAATCGGTGGGAGAAATGAGGGGTGAGTGAGGGGAACGATGAGGGAAGGACTGGGGGAATTGGGGGAACGCAGGGTGGATGGAGAGAGGGATGAGGTGCGAGCGAGGGGGGAGGGGAGGCATGGTGGGGGAAGGGGTAGTGGGGTGAGCGAATATTGGGGAGGGTGGGAGGAAGGGGAGAAGAGCGGAGGGGGGATGAGGGGTGTGTGCGGTGGGAGATAGGCGGAAATCGCAGGGAGATTAGCGGAGAGGGGGGAGATGAGGGGAGAGCGGGGGGGAGGATGAGCGAAGAACGGAGGGGTGGGGGGCGAGCGAGAAGAGGAAGAAGGGAGTGGGGAGGGGGGAGGGGGGAGAGGGGGGGGTGGAACGCAGGGGGAGGAGAGGGTCGGAAAGGGGGAAAGGGGTCGGTCCGCCACACACATCGCCCTTCACCATTCTTCTGTCACGAGGCGACGCACTGAGGCGAGGCGACGCACTGAGGCGACTCTAACGACGCGCGCTCAAACCGACACTGGTGGGGCGTTCGCATGACGAGCATCTGAAATAAACACTGCCAATGCGTCCGCAAACTGAGATCGCTATAAAAAAAACGTCAGGTTTAAACAACTACAAAATACCAGACAGACGCCTGAATCGCGCAACTTACACCACGCCATTAAAAAACCCGATATGAATGATAGTTACGGTACCAGACGTGTGAAGGACCACGGATAGCGCGACTGTCATTAGCTAGACTAAAGTCGCCACTGACACTAAAGTCGCGGCTTTAGGATCAAGACGAAAGGCTAACCTATTGCCGAGTAGATCTGATGAATGCGACGCGAAACTAATCCAAGGTGCCTCAATCTGACGAAACTAACTTTAGGTAATCCAAGCCACCCTTGACGAGCATAACTAGGCAACGAGGGTTCGAAGAATGAGGTGCGGGAGATGGAAGAATGTGAGGTGGATGGTTGAGGTTGTTGATAAGGCTGTGCTAGCTGGCCGTGCCACGATGGCAAAAACGCCCTTCATTGGTATTGGCTCGCGCAAATTTCTTGTCAAGCACCCCTTGCATTTTCAGCTGCCCAACTCGGATTGCGAGCAGCAAAACCGGTTGTGAGGGCAGCTGAATAGCTGCTTGTTCTAAAACTTCTGGACCATCCCAACCAACGCCGTCCCGCACCTCACGCAAATAAATTTCGTCGGCGAGAAGAGAATAAATACCAAATGCCACGGCTCCTAACAAGTTCCAGCCTGCCCTAGGTCCATCCGTGCCAAACATATTCCATCCATCATCCAAACCTCGGTGGATGCCAAAACTCTACAACAGCAATACGCGCCATCGACAGCTTCGATTGCAACAAACCAAACGAAACCAAACTAAACCTGCCTGTGAACCAAGGCCCAGTCCAACTTGACAACAATCGTGTGTGTTTTTCGAACCCAATCTAAACTGGAAACCTGGGTAGGTATCGGATCTTCTCGTACAGCGTACAGAAATTGTGTCGCCGCAAAAAGTCCGCCGCTCGAATTTCCCTCCTGAGGCATGGTCTCTGCCGTCATGGGCGGGGAAATTTGTTGGTCCACAATTACACACACCATCACCATGCAACATCCATACCGTCGTCATGGCTCGAAGTAAATCGTCACCGTTCAAAAAGTTTCTCCACCACCATCCAACTGTTCATACTGTTCCTATAGATTTTCGCGCTATGGCCGCCAAAACTACAGCACAGCATTGCGTCGCACCGCACTGCACCCAGCAAATGGAGCCAAACTGGGTAGGCATTTGGCCTGAAGCGCCCAAACTGCCACACCTCAATACTTCCTGACACCCATCACAATTGGTTTGAAGCCACTCTGCATCGCGCGCACCGGCCGCCAACCAACCCAACCAAACATTACTCGTCAGGGAAAGGGCGAGTCAGAAGGAAGACCATGGATGAGCAGGAAGGAGCACGCATTTTCTCATGGTTCAGCGCGCTTCCGCTTTTCCTACCAACTCGATCCTTCCCACACATCCCTTACGTCACACCTTATAACCCATTTTTGTTCACCGAGCAAGCTAATCTTTCCGAAAGGCTTCCGGCTAGTACTGGCGAAAACCCAATGGCACGCGGCAGCGTTGAGCTATAGAAGTCGGGTGGGACGGGTTGGGTAGAGAGTCGTGAGAGAGCGAGCTGCCTGCTGCCTGGGTTGAACCTTTACTACGCTAGTTGCTTGAGGAAGATTCTGTTCCACGGCGAGTCTCTCGAAACCGATCTCCACGGCCGGGCGAAACCTTCACGGCGGAATGGTGGTCCTTCTCGCGTGGCGCATGGTGGCGGAATCTCTACCGTCGGACGGCGCTTCTCCCATCGCACGACGAACGGTGCACGGTTTTATTTCTCTTCTTCGTCATCGTTTCTTTCAGCTTTTTTCCAGCTTTATTATTATTCCGCTTGTTCGTTTCTTATTCTTATCCTTCTCGAGATCACTTACTTACTTGGTTTATTCTTGGTGCGTTCAGCAGGAGGAGTCCAGGAGGAGTCGCGCTGGTGGTGTGCGAAGCGGGTGGAGCGAGGAGCACACGTACGACTTCACCTTGGTAAGTGTCGTCCATTTTTGGTGTTTTTATTTATCCGATTTACTTACGTCTTTCGTTTTCACTTTGTGCGTGTTTGGCAGGCGGAGCTACCAACGAAGATGAAGACCGACCAACAAGACAAGACTTCGCCTTGGTAAGTTTTGCCCATTTTTAGTGTTTCTGTTTATCCGATTTACTCACGTCTTTCCTTTTCTCCTTGTGCGTGTTAGACAGACGGAACAACGAAGGTGAAGACCGAAGAACGTGGAGAGAAGACTTCGCCTTGAAGCTGGAGGAGCATGGAGCAAGGACTCTCGCGGCGGACCTCTCTCACATGGTTTTATTTCTCGTCTTCGTCATCGTTTCTTTCAGCTTTGTTATTATTCCGTTTGTTCGTTTCACATTGACTTTGTTTAAAAACGTACTAACATTTTTTAAAGTCGTTCTGCCCGCAGGAAGTCGGGAGCTAAGGAGCAGCGCAGAGCGAGGATCGAACGAGGACCAACAAGAAGAAGCAAGGACCAGCGAGGAGCTTGACTCCCCGCTTCCCCTCCTTCCCTTTCTCAGAAGGTGGAGCAACAACTGCAGCAGCAGCACATGGTTACCCGTGGGCCGTATAGGAGCGTTAGATCAGATCGATAGGAGCGTTAGATCAGACCGTAGGAGCGTTAGATCAGACCGTAGGAGCGTTAGATCAGACCGTAGGAGCGATAGATCAGCCACAGACTGGACAGACGAGGGCGGTGTGGGCTGGGTGGTTAGGCGATGGGGACGCGACGCGACTGGGTGGGTAGGCGATGGGGACGCGACGCGACTGGGTGGGTAGGCGATGGGGACGCGACGCGACGGGGTCGGTTGGGTTTCCTCCTCCTCTTTACTCCCGCCACTTTTTGTGGCTCACCGCGGCAACCTGACAACCTGATAACAGAGAAGCTACTTCAAGCTCCGAGGTGTTCTCCGCTCGCTGGCATTTACATTAATCCTACTAACCGTCCCTCCTCTTTGTTTTAGTGTTTTTCTTGCAGGTTCCCTAACGAAGGACCTCCACCTCATCGTGGTGTTAGGGTGAACGCTAGAGGCTTGTCCTCTAGCGGCCAAGAGGGGTCCATGCGAAGACCGAAGACCAAGGTCCAAGATCCAAGTTCCAAGGTCCAAGATTGAAGACCTTCCTATAGATCTAGAATTTCCTGAACATGAGATGTATGTAGACTTCATGATATGAATTCATTTTACTATTTAATCTAATTTTGGTTCAGTTGTTTTAACTGAGCATTCGTGGTTGATAAAGTACACGAAACAACACCAGAAATCTTCAGTTAGGGGGTTTGGCATGGTAGGGCAAAGAAGAAAGTAGAAATTCGAAGGGAGAAATTTCTGGTCATGGTAACTTGAAGCAGTGCAGTAAGCTTGCAGCAACTCCTGCAATTCGCTATCAGGAAGCAGGAAGGTTGTCAAGTCAAAACGTCAGACAAAAGCCAATAGCTGCCACCTCCCTTCTCATTCATGACAATTTCAGAAGCTCCAAATCATGGTACCGGTAACATCAAAATTTGTTTGCGAGCCCGTTCCCTAACCCTAATCTCCTAATCTTCCACCCTGTCATTGCATGTAATTGGGAGGCAGCACTGGGTGCGACGGGCTTTTATACAGCGACGGGTGGACGAATGGGATGAGAGCTAGGGTGATAGCATGCTCATAGTACGTCTGACGTGTAATCTCCCCATTGGTCAGATACCCCACTATGCCCCCACGGGATTTGCTGCCCTCTTGCCTAAAAGCCTCATCTGTTGCTTCTCCCAGCTCCATGCCCCCTGCAGGGTGCCAATCACGAGGGTGATAGAAACGAGGAAGGGGTGATAAGGACGGCAGTGGTAAGGAGGAGCGGATTGAACAAGCATGGTGCAGGGAAGCAGGTATAGCTGAATGGGAGGGCGAGTAGCATGTGAATAGTTCCTAAACTCACTCTGCAGACTCACCAACTGTGCACGCAGAACCCCAATGCCCCCTCTGTGCCCCCTCTGTGGGTAGGGTGTGTGCAAAGCTCACACCCTACCCACACGGTCCGCACCCTTCCCTCGTGACCCACTTTCCCCATCATTCCCCTTACCCTTCCGCCCATACTTTCCCCTTCCATCATTCCCCTTCCATGCTTTCTCCTTACCCTTCCGCCTACCCCTACTAGTATGTCCATTGTTTCTTTTTCTCTTCCCTCAGTAACCCCATCCTCGCCTCCCATCTTCTCCCTCACCCCCTTACCCCGCCTCCCCAGCCACTCTTTTCCCTTCCCCTCCTGCACGTTCCCACTTCTCCCCTTCCCCACAACACCCCCCTCCTCCCCGCCCCCCCTTACCCCCCCCCCCCCCCCCCCTCTTTTCCTCCTCCCCCCTCCCCCCCACCTTGCACCAGTTCCGCCAGTGGTGGAGGAAGCATGAACGCGGCCGTCCGCGCTCTCGCCTCCCCCGAAATCGCGTTCCCTCCGCCTCCCGCTAAGCTTCCCCCCGCACCTCTCCCCCCGTTTACTCCCCCAAGCGCCGCGCCTCCTCTCCTCCCCGCCAACCCTTCCCCGCCCCCGCCCCCGCCCCCTGTCGCTTCCCCCACTCCCCTCCCCTGCTGCTGTCTCCCGTTCCCCGCTCCGGGAGCCGCGCCTCCGCCCTCCCCGCTTCCGCCGACCACCGCGCCGTCCGCCTCCGCCTCGTCGTCCGCGCGCGCGGACGTGGAGAGTACGACAGCCCATGCGAAGCACATGAGCTGGGGGGGATCGGAGAACCGACACCACTCCACTCCCCCCTCGATCGCAACCACGAAATCCGCGCCTTCCGCCGCGCTGCTGCGCGCCACGTGAAGCAGGCGGTTCCGCGCGCCCGTGAGAGTCTCCGCGTCGCCCATCGGCTGGTCCGACACGCCCGAGTCGGCCGGAAAGCCCTCTAACTCGAACGACTCGTGGGGGAACAGCCGCCGGAGCGCCTCCCCCGCGGCGTTAATCTTTACCGGGTTTCTAGAAGCTACGACCACGCGTCGCCTACTGTTCCACGCGCCGTCGGAGCTATTCTCCCCGCACGACGCGATCTCCGCGTGCCCGTCCCCGCGGCATGCTTGCGCCTGCGCGCGGTTCCTTCCGCCAGGGGAGTGGTGCGGCTGGAGCGACACGCGCGCGGAGGATTGGTGATGCGCCGCGACGCGCGACGGGAATATGGCGTCGTAGGACATTAAGAGGGGGCGCGCAGGGTGACTGCTGGTTCTAAGACGTGTCAAAACTGGATCGGCGTGACTGTGGCTACTACGGGCTCGCTCCAGCGGTGGCGGCGGGTCGATCAGGGTCGTGTCGACAGAGTTGATTCGTTAGTGGCACAACAGCGTACGGGGAAATTCCATGCGGTGAATCAAGCCGTCAAACCAGACACGTCTGGTGAAAAAAAAGGGAAACAAGCTATCACTCGCAGCTAAAAATACGCCACTGTTCGCGCTTCAGAAATGGCTTGCGTTGCCGTTGGCTGTGTGCGACAGACCAAGCTGGTCAACTTACGGGTGGGTACGTGCGACAGAGCATCCCTGTCAGTTGGTTGGGAGCGATGACAGCACAATGCGTCGCAGACTGACAGAGAGTTGTCGCAGCACGGGATGAGTCGCAAGCGGAGTTGTCGCACAATGAAGTGCTGGGCGGTTTTGGCGCAAAGCCCCATGCGAGAGGTGATGCGAGGACGTGATGTAAAAAGATTCGCTACAGTAAAAAAGCAGCTGACACCGAAGTTTCATTACACCTTGTTCATTTAAAAAAGAGCTAGCTGATTGAATTTCACATTGTGATTCTTCTAGTCATCAAGCAGAGATGTACATAGCAGTTCACACATTTACTGCACAATCCACTCATGAGGCTCTCCTCTGCATAGCCTGCAAGATCTCCTGCAAGTCGTCATCGTCATCATCTGACATGGCGCTCTCTTCCTCAACCTTGTCCCTCCCTCTTCCCATACCTACCACCCCTCTTCCTATACCACTCCTCATGCCAACCCCTCCTGAACCGTCCATCATCTGACTTCTACCTTCACTCGCCCCACACTTCACATCCTGAACCTGATCACTGTCACCAAATAAATCCCCATCCCCCATCCCCACTCCAGCACCCACCCCTACCCCCTCATCCTCGTCGTCATCATCAGAATCACCATCTTCCACCACTAGAGCTGTCACTGTTGACGCTCCTGCTGCGATTGCCACAGGAACCGCCAATGCTGCAGATGAAACCGGCACCGCTGCCTTTGCTGCCCCTCCTCCATCGAATCGGCTATGCCCCACACTTCCCCTCCCTGCACTCCCCCCTCCTCCGCCTCCTGATTGTCTCGAGTAACTTTCCACGCTTCTTGTTCTGGATAGCTTCTGCTCTTGCGCTTTAAGGTGTGCTACCGCCGCAATTGCCACACCACCGGGAGAAACACCACTACCGCCAGCACCTGCACCAACACCTGCACCAGCGGCAGCAGCGACAGACGCGCCGCAGCCGCTGAAGGTTCTGCCGAGCCGTTTGGGCGGTTCGGAAACATTCTCCGACGGACCAAATAGGTCCTCATCCACTGCTGTTCCACCTGCGGCAGCAACACTGCTGCTACCAACACCAACTCCAGCTCCGGAGGGAGCAGCAGCAGCAACAGCAGCGTCATCATCGTCATCATCAGAGTCTCCATTATCCGCCCCAAACAAATCCTCGTCCACTGCCCCGCCCTCCCCACCCATTGATCCAAACAGATCCGCATCTACCCCCATGCCCTCCCCTCCCCCCACCGCACCCGCCTCCTTGCAGCTCCCCCCTCTCCTCCCCTCCTCCAGACCCCGTTTCCCCACAGGCAGCGGGGGACTGCCCCCACTCCCGTCCCTCCCCCCTCCCACGCCGTGCATGCCCTTATCCGAGTGACACCTGGCAGGAGCTCTTAGCGCGTTGTGATGCATCTCTGCTTGGCGACTGGAGAGAGAGTGGCAACCCATACCACCCGGACCTCCACCCGCTCCCGGACCTAGTCCCGAACCAGCCTGACTGTTACCACCGGTGCTGGTGGAATGGAGAGGCGAGGGGGACGAGGCACACGCGCCACTGCTACCGCCAGCGCCAGCGCCCGCAGCAGCAAGGTGGGCTCTAACTGTGTCTCCTGATCTGCTCCTTAGTAAAGGCGGCTTCACAGCTTCTTCTATCAACATCGCTGCTTTCCCCACCGCTGCTACTGGGCTGCTATGCCCGCCGTGCGCGCTGTGTCCCCCGGCCTTGCTTGCTACAGCCGCTACAGCCGCTGCTGCTGCAGCTGACATCCCTCCTTTCGCTGAGTGACCCCCTACCCCTCCTGCGCCCAATGCTGCCCCCCCGCCACCTCCGCTTTTGCTACCATGCGCGGAAGGGACAGGAGGAGGCCCGCCCCTGCTTCTTCCCCCTAACCCCCCTGGTCCAGGCTTCGTTTCCCCCCCACTTCCGCCTGGGCCGCTTACCCCTGCTCCCGATCCTACCCCGCAGCCTCCCCCGCTTGCTCCGCTTCCACTGCCGCTGTTCCCGCTACCTCCCACTAGCAGTGCCCCCTCGTTTCGTCCTCGTGACTTGGACTTGGTTAGCTGCTTGTACTGTGAAAGAAATTCCTCGTCCGAGTCACTACTTTCCGCGTCCTCCGCGCCTTCCTCCCCCGCACCGTGACCTGCCTTCGGCGGGGATCCGCCGATTCCCCCCCCGCCTCCGCCTGCCGCGGATTTCCCCCCCAACGGAGCAGCCAGCGGAGTGGGGGAGCCTGGGTCATGCGTGGGCGCATCCACTCCGCCGCCGCCGCTGCCTGCAACCGGCGCAGCGAGCGGAGTGGGTGAGCCGGGGTCATGCGGGGAAGCTTCGATTACCGCTGGTGTGGAAATTGGAGTGGGCGTGCGCGCAACAGGCGCAGCAAGCGGAGTCGGCGATCCAGGATCGACAGCCTGCGCGGGCGCACCCGCGGAAGCACCCGCCGACGAGCTCCGCGGAGCCGCAAGAGGCGCTGCTAGCGGAGTAGGCGAGCCAGGGTCATGCGGCGGAATCTCCGCAGACCCGCCTCCTGCTTCTAGCGCGGACGTCGTCGGCGCCGAAACCGGCGCGCCGAGAGGAGCGGCGAGCGGAGTGGGGGAGGGGAGGTCAAAGTCGGAAGCCGGTTCCGCCAACCCAACACCGGTTTGCACGGTCAGTTGCTTCTTGGGACCACCCGAGGCGCTTCCCATCGGCACTCCGTCTTTAGAATGAGAGTTAATGCTGCGTGTATTGGGATGCGCCTTGGAATGCGGAGCGTGAGTATGCGGCCTGGAGTGATTAGTGCTTGTAGCAGCAGCACCAGTAGTGCCATGACAAGTATTATGACCGTGACCGTGACTCCCGTCTGTTACACGACGATCGGGACCGCCGCTTTCCTCCCCCATACCCCGAGCCTGCTGCGTAGGTCTGGCACCGTGCCTACCTCCAGGTCCGACCCCACGGGGCTCGGCGTGCATCGGGCCGCCTCGACCTCGACCCCTCCCGCGTGCTCCGCCGCAATCCTCGGTGGCGACGTGTCCATCGCGCCTCGGAGCTGGTTTCGGAGCGGTTACTCGTTGACCCCGCCGAGCCTGGCTATTGCCGGACGGGGTATCAGGATAAAGCTCCTCTTCCGCCGATGCTGTAGAAAAACGGTTATTCGAGGAGGAGATTGGAGTGGCTACTGGAGCGTCATCGTCAATAATAGGATGCTGGTCGGTTTGAGAGAGGTTTGCCGGTCGTCGGTACGGGGATGCTGAAGTAGCGACCACGGGAGAGCCATTAGCGACGGCCGGCTTTCGGCAAGACGGATTTGGGGATCCGTGAGGTGCTGTTCTATTGGGAATCATGACGACTTACGCGGAATACTAGCTAGTGAACAGATAATAACCGGTGGAATCTAGTCCATCAAGGTTAGTAGTTGAATATAAGACAGTCTACGGCATCTTTCAGTCATCGCGGCTCATACTACTTACGAGCTGATGATCTAGGAGATGCATTTAGCCTCTAAGACCTAGCCGTTCAGTCAGGCAGCCCCAAGGCTCATCGCATGGCAGGTGGAAATGGTGACGTGGCGAGCCATCTATATACCCTTGGCCAGTATAGTCGCACAGTTCACCACCAAACCCAACGAACCACCTTCTGAATAGATAAGGTTCTGACGGCAACTGACCTCCTGACGGACAGCCAGTAAACTGGACCAGTGGACGGGAACCTCGTCCCCAAGCCTCCGCCCATCCGTCCATTCGTCCGTACTTGTTCACTCACTTCCGAACTGGTTTCCCGCTGGGGAAATGATCAAAGAGGGGCCGTACAGTGCCAGAGAGGTGATCGACCAGGGGCCGAAACTGACCAAACCGCTGCGCGAGGAGGAATTAACAGAGAGGTTCGTCACGGCTTGCATTTTTGCTCACACCTCAATATTCTTAGGTTATCGTAAATGAATCATTTTTTTCATCCGGTAGCGTCGTTTAGCGAGCCAGGTACCGCTACCGGAGGTACCGACGCTACCGGGAAATGTTAGGGCAGCCTAAAAAAACTAAAACCAATAGAAAACCTGGACGCCTTTTCGGGATGGATCAACCCTAAACACGGGAACCCGCCTGATGTTTAGGGTTGATGCCTCCCGAGTCGCATCCATTTCCGAGCGGGTTATATTATTTATGTCAGCTTAAAGTGATGTCATTTTTTAGAGAACGATTACGCATTTCATTTCCCAAAAATATAAACATGACGAAACCTACTTCCAGAGGAATGCGACGCAAGCTTCGTATTAGGCGGAGATCATAACTATGAAAAAATCATCGAACCAAGAAAGTTAAGCAAAAAAGTACTTTCCTTGATATCCTGGTTCGGATTCTCGGCCCAACCACTTTGGCAGCCCCGGGGATATATCCGACGGTTGGGAACAACCCGGTCCTAATTCGGTCACCTCCCTGCTATTGTTCGGCCCCTATTTGATCTTTTCCCTTCACGCTGCCCGTGGGTGCATCAGGTGCGACGAGGTGCTGGTTGGTTGGGAAATCTTGACGGCAACTTCCTTGGTGGGTGAGGCTTGGCTTGGGAGCAGATTCGGTAATAGCATTGCGGTATAGGTCAGGAGGATTCTGGTGGGGTGGCTCGGCAACCGAGAAGTTACTCAGGCTGACAAATATCTCTCAACACAATTTCAATGGAAATGTGTGACTGAAATCATCTATCTACCAAGCAGTTTCTGCAATATTGCATAATGATCAGCTTCACACCCATCACATGCAAACTACTTGAATGCATGGAGGAAATAACGTTGTATATCTAGTTCTGGATCTACGTCAATAGAAATTCTGAAGATATGAAGTCAATGTTGGAGCTGAAGCTCACTCTCCTCCTATGCATTGGCCTCGTTGTCTTGGGTGTACAGCTCGTGGGAGTAGAGGATTCTGTTCCCTCAGAAAAAATGTGGAGTGGAGTTAGCTCCGGGCTCCATGGTTGGCGGTTCCCATATTTCTTTAGGAGTCCGGCCATATCTAAGCTAGTTGTCCGCCACATTCGTTCACCAAAACGCGCTCTGGTTGCTGCCTCACCGCAATGTTCAACTTGTGATCTATGCTGATGCTGCTGATGTTGCTGCTGTGGCTGCTGTTGCTGCTGCTGTGGCTGCTGGTGCTGCTGCTGTGGCTGCTGGTGCTGTTGCTGCTGGTGCTGGTGCTGTGGCTGCTGGTGCTGTTGCTGTGGTTTGAATGTACAAACCTCCTGACAGGGCTGCTCCCTCAAATAGTGCCCTCCTTGTCCTGTCCCTCTTGCCTTAACTATCGCCTCCTGCTCATCCTGCACTTCCTCTTCCTCTCTCGGTCCTTGTTCCTCCTGAACCACCACCACCTCCATTCTCTGCCATTCCTTCCGCTGCTGCAGCAGGTGCTCCGTTTGTAGCTGCTTCAGTTGCTCCTGTAGAGCATCCACCTGCGCCTGTAGCTCCTCATTTGAAAAGTTTCGCCTCCGCCTGAGCGACTGCTCCGTGCCCTGTGTCCTCCTCCTCTGCTGCTGCGCCTGCTGCGCCTGCTGCTGCGAGGGTGGCGAGTCAACCGTGCTTTCATTGTGCTGCTGCTGCCGCTGCAGCTGCGGCAATGGCGGCGGCAGCTGCTGCTGCTGCTGCTGCTGCTGCTGCTGCTGCTGCTGCTGTTGCCGCTGCCACCACAGCTGCACATACTCTCTATGCGTCTCCTCCTCCTCACCTATCACCACCTTCCCCACTGGACTACGCATTCCCTTGGACCCCACAGTCAGGACCTGCTGCTGCCGCCTTTGCTGCTGCTGCTGCTGCTGCTGCCGCATGATTCGTGGCGAAGCGAGCACTCCACTGAAAGGGGAGGAGGGCAAAGCAGCCATGGCTTCATCGCTAGGAGTAATATTCACCCCCTGGCGATCGCTCCCACAGGGGTGAGAGTTCGTGCGAGGCGATGGCAGCGACTTTTGGGGCACCAGCAGCAGCAACTTTTGACTCGACTCAAGATTCCGCTGGCGCTCGTTGGAGGCGCTGCTACTGTTGACGCTTCTGCTCGTGCTGGCGCTTCTGAAGCAGACGTCGTCCTCCGCGCGCTCCGCATCTAGGTCCATGGAGCGCGACGCCCTGCGCCGGGGGGTTACCGCGCATGCGCCTTCCGCGTCGTCCGCGCGCGTCCCGTCGCCCAGAACCTCCGCGTCCTCGGGAACGCTGCGAATGGGGAACTGGTCGGAAAATCGCCGCGCGCGCGCACCGTGCGCTTCCGCTGCTTGCTGTGATTTCCCGGACGCTCTGAACGGCCCGGGCGCGCTGCTTCCGGGCAGCGCGCGGCTGCCCCTCCCGCTGACCACGCTGGCGCGCGCGCAGAGCGCGCTGTTGGCGGCGGCGAGCGCTGCGGCGGCGGCGGCGCGCTGCTTGGCGGCGACCCCGTAAAGCTGCACGAACTCGTCGTCGGAATCGGAGGAATCAGAGTTGGACGATTCATCTTTCAACGCAGAACGTGGTTCCTGCGAGGGCGCAACGGTTTCCGCGTGCGACGTGGCGAGAAGCCGGGCTCGCGTCTTGTCCGCTGCTGCGCTTTGTGAAACGTTTTGGAAGCAACTCGAGGACCGGCTTCGCGGAAACGACGCTCTGGCCGGGAAACGCGGCGTGGAATCTTGACTCTGACAATCTCTGCCCGGCTTCGTTCGACTTGCGAACGACGCGACGGCGGAATTCGCGCGTCTCGCAATGTCGTCATCAGGCAATCTAACGGCGCTTCGAGCAGTAGCAGCGACGGCACGGGGTGATACGACTGGCGGCCCGCCAAGACGCGGCTTGAGGCTCCCGCATTCCGCGGCGTTACCAGCGGTGGCAGCAGCATTGCCGTCGCAAGACGCGCTTCTGAGCATCCTACCCCCCTGCGGCGGCGCAACGGCACCCAAAGGCCTTGGTGAGAGCGGGGCGCGGGGAACGATTCCGCCTCGGTCGCGCTCCCCGCGCCGCACGACCACGACCTCCGTCCGCTGCAAAGGCGGCGGGTCGGAGATTCCGCCTGAGTTTCCGCCAGAGTCGCTTCCGCCGGAGCTCCCGCCACTCGTCGGGGGATTGTTTCTGGCGCGGGGATGCGGACCCGAGCTCCCGCCGCCGCGCTCCTGGCAGCCGTTTCTGTTAGCGGCCGCGGCGGCGGCAATAGCGCCGTTACTGATGGAGTGGCTGCGGGGAAGGCGCGACACCGAGGTGACCTCCGCGTGTTCCTCCTGCGCGCCGCAGCGCCACGCGGTGTGGTTCGGCGCGGGAGGCGCGGAGACGGGGCCGGGGGAATACATGACCGCGGCGGAGGCGGAGCGCGGGGAGGGGGAGAAGGGGGAGGAGGAAGAACCGCAGAAGATGTCGGGGCTGGCGGAGGAAGAGGAAGCGGCGGAAAGCGGCGGGGAGAACGGGTTGCTCGGGGAAGGGCCGCAACTGACGGAATCGCTTCTGGTGTTACTACTGTGGTAACCGTAAACCTTGGTAAAGTCCGGCAGGGACGGCGTTCTAAGTGTGATGCTTAGCGGTCGAGACGGGCGTCGACGAGGAACGAAAGCCGATGACCCGGCGTGTTTGACAGAAAGACTACTATCGCCGCCGCCCCCGCCGCCCCTCCCGCTGCGGCCGCCGGGAGAAGGAGACTTCGAGCCTCCTTGCGAATTTGGATTCGCATCGCTGCGGGGGTTCCTCGAAGCGCCGCGAGGAGACGGAGTGCTCGCGGGAAAGTCGGCCATTTTAGTTCCTCCTCCGCCGCGGCTCGTCGAGACTCCTAGCCACTATGGGAGTCGGTCGTGGTAACGGAACTCTTTCTAAGTAGTTAACTTCAAGATGAGTTGGCTGATATCTCGATTGTGTGGCTCAAAACGGATGGAGTAATGCAATTCGCGATGGAATGGAAGAGATGGAGGCCCGTGAGGTTCGGAGATTCGACGGCTCCTCTATTCTATCTGCCGCGATTAATGGACGGACACTGTTTGAACGGACGAGCTATTCTCCTTGCCGCAATGAATGGACGGACACTGTTTTAACGGACGAGCTATTCTCCTTGCCGCAATGAATGGACGGACGAGCTATTCTCCGACGTCCGTTCTCTCCTTTCAGAAAGGAGGGCATGCCACCGCGCAGAAGAATACAATCCTGCCGCAAAGGGTATGCCGCTAGCTGGCAGGCGCGTGTTGTCTGTGGCTCGAAGGGTACTTAGCGAGCTGAGTAACCAAGCGTTCATGGCGGGATAATAATTTATGTGACGCTGCTGAAATGTCGCATTTCGAATGACCTGCGAAAATATTTTTTCTGGCAGAGCGACGTCCACGATGCGCTAGTCCGACGATTCTGTACGGTACAGAGTACACCCTGTTTTCACTATTGTGAACGCCGGTATACTGAGCCCTGTGGCTCAACGCGCAAAATTACGCGCTATAGTCAACTTTTGCACCAGTTCGGTTTGACGAGGTCAGCTACCTTTAAAGACGGTTGGTTGAACTTTGAATATGGCTCGGTAGGGTACCCAGGTTAACGAAATTTCGGATCACCCGCCTCCCAGAGACGGTTATGTAAACTTTTCGAATACGTCCAAGGAACAAATCCACTGTTCAGTGTGCTTCCGCATTTTAGTGTAGCAAGAAAGAGGGTGTACACGTAAAAATCTTGCGAATCGCGAAAGCCTGATGCGCTTGCGGTCACGTGCATGCACATTGCACACATTAGTGGTTCTTGGATCCGTATGTGGGATTCGTATGAGCGCTGGCGGGCAGAAGGCAGGCCTGTCGATTCAAGGGCATATGCCCTTAATGCCCTGAACATTCCGGACTAATTTTGCTCCAGCTCGACTGCCAAAAGTGCTAGATTCGCACTGCACCCGTGCCACTAAGTGCCTCGCTCGACCCTTCCCCGGATGCGTTAAAGCGACGGGCAACTTTTGGCAGTGTTGGGTTCAGAAGTTTTTTTTTTAAACCAGGCTTGCCAGCGCGAAAGTGCTGGCTGGCGAAAACCAGGATTTCGTGCGGACACTTTCAATCCGCAGTAACAGTTCGCCAGGGTTCTGGGTTTTGGGTGGCCCAAACCAGGCCTTCCCCTGTCTCGAAGTTTTGGTTTCTGGTTGTAGGACCCACCCCCCCCCCCCCCCTCAAATTCTGCCTGACCCCACCCCCCCTTTCTCCTTAGGTTGCACGAGAGGAGTGGATTTTTCCCTTAGCGTTTTCTAGCCAATCCTGTGTTTGTAAAGTGTCTAAGTCAGCTTGGAGCACCCGAATTTTCCCTTAGCGTCTAAGTGTCCCTCCCCCCCCCCTTTTCCTCCTTACACGAGAGGAGTGGATTTTCCCTTAGCGTTTTCTAGCCAATCCTATGTTTGTAAAGTGTCTAAGCCAGCTTGGAGCACCCGAATTTCCCCTTAGCGTCTGACGCCCCCCCCCCCCCCCCCCCCCTTTCTCCTTAGGTTGCACGAGAGGAGTGGATTTTTCCCTTGACGTTTTCTAGCCATCCTGTGTTAGTCAAGTGTCTAAGTCAGCTTGGAGCACCCGAATTTTCCCTTAGCGTCTCTAAGTGACCCCCCCCCCCCCCCCTTTCTCCTTAGGTTGCACGAGAGGAGTAGATTTTTCCCTTAGCGTTTTCTAGCCATCCCTTGTTTGTAAAGTGATGAAGTCAGCTTTGGAGTACCCAAATTTTCCCTTAGCGTCTAAGTGCAAACTCTTCACAGGCCCGGATTTTAAGTTTTCACTTTGGGGTGCGCCCGTGACCGTTAAGGGCGCCCAAACGCTCAGCTACACCAAAAACAGGGTCAGATGTGTTGGAGAATCGAGTTTCTGCCGCCCCAGCCCTTTGCACACAAGCAGCAGCAAGGGGGAATGTCGGCGATGAATCAGAGCTTCGGGAAGTACTTCGAAAGTTCCACCACCAATCAGATTTCAGCTGAAGACTCGATATAGTTCAAAGCTGCCTTCAAACCGAAGTGTTGGCAGTTTCTACAGGTTTCTACACATCAGAATCAGCTATAACAGAAATATCCAGAGTTTTCTTATTCATGCACCTCATGTGGCACTCAAAGTCACTCAAGGTCCATCCAATCTAGATTGTGCCCAAGTTACCAGGGAAGTTACATTGTCTATCAGCCTAGTTTGAGCTTTCAATCTGTCTTGTTTGTGATGCCTATAGAGTTGTGCTTTAGTGGGCTTGTTAATCTTGAACATAGTGAAGTTTTACCTCATCCAGTCAATTCCAGCAGCCCTGCTAAGACTTTCCAGCCAAGTTTCCAGCCCTCCAGTAGTCACAGCTACTCTGTTTTACAAGTTGGTATCAGAGCTTGTCGTTTCGATCAACATAGCCCACCACGTTCCTATCCTAGCACCATACGAACATGGCGGGAGACAATCCATCTGGTCCTGCACTCCAGCCAGCCGGAGGAGCTTCAGAGTCAACATCAGCAGCTACTGGATTAGTGGAAGCAGTTGCACCAGGCAGTCCTTCAACAACATACTCACCACTCACCTCCTTCATGCCTAAGCTTCACCTCCCCAAGTTCAACGGCAAAGATTTTCCAACATGGGCAACTCAGTTTGAGCTCACTGCATCCCTTCTGGATCTGTGGCCTTACTACACTGGAGAAGCAGCCAAACCAGCAGCAAATGCTTCAGAAGCTGAAAAACGACTTTACGAACGACGCAACAAGGAGGCCTTCCTCTACCTACTCAATAGCATTCACGAGCAGCAGTTGAAGTCGCTCCTGCCCTGTTCTACCAAGGCAAACAGTGCAGAGGAAGCATGGAGCCGACTGAAGACTATGCACCAGTCAAAATCCGAGAGCAGCCAAGCCGAGATGTGGAGCCGCTTCATGAATCTGAAGATGGAAGAAGATGAATCAGCACAAGCCTACCTACAACGAGCTGAAGCAATGCTGGAGGAAGCAGCAGCGATCGGCTTGGAGATTCCAGAGTCTCTTTTCAAGACCGTCATCCTCACCGGCCTTACACCGGAGTGGGACACTTTCCGTGCAACACTACAAGCGCTCCCGCAGTCAATGAAGAGTCGTGCGTTCATCTTTGAGGCCCTTGTCAACGAGCAGCAGAGTCGAGACCTTGCACGGAACAAGCGGAGTGACGAAGGTGCGTGGAGTGCTGCAGCAGCCACAAGATATGGCAACCAATTCCAGAGGCAAGGAAATTTCAGCCCAAACCGCCCTCAACCCTACTACGGTATGAAATTTCAGTCACCTTCCAACCCATACAAACCCTCTCGTTTTCCTCAGTCAAGTCCTCCCTATAAGTCCAGTCACTATGTCCAGCCAAGGCCTTCGATTCCCAATCAATACCAGCCTAGGAATGCAAGAGTCAATATGCCAAGAGTCAATAATTTCAGCCAAGCCCCGAATGCTAAAAAGTTTAATTTTGAGTGTTTTTGTTGTCATGAGTGGGGTCACCCGTGGTATGCTTGTCCTAAGAAGCCTCCTAATTGGGTCCCCCCACCTCAGCTACTATCTGAAAAAGGTAAGGCAGCCATAGCAAATATAGCAAGTCATTCTACAAGTCAAGATGAGTCCAAAGAGTCTGATGGTCCTGTCCTTTTTAACGCTGCTACTTGCATGCACGTTTTCTCTACTAGTAGTGAGGAGTTTATTCTTGATAGTGGCTGCTCTGAAACCATGACTCCCTATCAGTCCGTTCTCAAGGATTTTCAGCCCTCATATGACTCAAAAGCTGTGACTCTTGCTGATCTTGGCAAAGTACCAATCAAAGGAGTCGGCAAGCTTGAGTTCGAAAAGGATGGTAAGTCATTTTGTGTCAATAAAGCTTTGTTTGTTCCTGATTTGGGAGCAAACTTGCTCTCATCCGGACAACTCGAAGAGAAAGGTGCCTCCGTTCTCTTGCAAGGGGGGAAAGCCAAAGTGTGGGACAGTGCAGGAAATCTGGTGGCTGAAGGCGAGCGTACCGGGCGGCTCTACAAGATGAAGTTGGAGATTAAGCGCGGTGCTAGCAACACGAAGAACGACGTTGTCTCGCTTCCCGCTGTTTCAACCGATCAAGTCAACAACAAGGGAGTATCTCCCAAGCTGAGGTATGGCATGCACGCTTGGGGCACGTGGGAGTGCAAGCATTGAAAGAGTTGGTAAATCACAAGAGCGTGGAAGGATTGAGTTTGAATGAAAGTGCAGTCAAGTCCCTTTCTTCCGTTCCATGTCCATCTTGTGTGGAAGGTAAACTAGCTAGAAAGCCATTCTTCCCTTCTAAGTCTCAGTCAAGGGACCTCCTAGAGTTGGTCCACACTGATGTCTTCGGCCCCATGCGAGACCCTACTCGAAACGGTAAGA